GAGAAATGGGGAGTGGCCACTGAAATGTTCCAAGTGCCTTTGGGGACACTTACTGTCCAGCAAGTGGGAAAGGAGAGGGAATTTGTTACAGGTGTCATCTTGTCAATCCTCTTGACCCTCCAAGCTCAGAGAGGTTGGGGCTTTCCGAGGTCACACAGCCAAATCAAACCACAGGCTGAGGATTCTGATCCAGCCAGTCTAGGTCTGAAGGCTGTTAATTTGCAAAGGATTCTTCGCATCTACTATCTAAAGTAATGTTTCCCAAGCAGATAGTCTGTGCTATCCAGCCTTCCAGAAGGCATGAGGATAAAGGTGCATCATACACGGCTTCAGTCTCCTCTGAGCATCACAGCACTGATGGGAAGGGCAGAGAAGGGGCCCCTGGCTCAGTCTGTTGGGGGTGGGATGACGTGGCAATCAGAGAAGGCTTCCAGAAAGCAGTGATGCCACAACTCTGTCTGAAAGAATAAGCAGCAGCTCGAGGGGTAGAGAAAAACATATTCTGGACAAAAGGGTCTGGGTGCACAACACCGAGAAGCATGATAGTTTGGTTAGCAGGGGAGGGGCTTTAGGCAGCAGCAGGGCAGTGATTCTGCCCAGGAGGGAGGAGACAGAAGCTAGCTCTGACTGCAAAACCTGAGATCCGACAGGTGCCCCCGCCCTGAAGCAGGCATATGAAGGATTTTGAAACAGATCCAGTGGGTACAAGTGACCAAGGCTTCAAGCAGGGGATTGGTTCCTGGAGATCCCACTGGGGGCTGTGAGCAGAGCAGACTCTAAGAGGGAAGGCGGAGGCAGGGAGGCCTGGGTAGAGGCTCCAGTGTCACCCAACCACAGGTTAAGAGTGAAGCAGGAGACGTGGTTGTACCCTGAAGACACAGCCAGCAGGGAGTACGGCAGAGAGAGGGGTCAGGGATGACTTAGGCCAAGGAGTGGACAGTCATGATGTTTACCAAGATGGGCGTAATGGGGGAGGGCAAGTCTGGGGCTGGGGGCACGTGAACCAAGATAAGGACCATTTAGAGCCACCGTCTCCTTCAGATGAACACTCTGGGGTGAAGACGTGCAAATCAAAGCTGCCTTTCTACACTATTCCCCCATCCTTAAGGGGCATCCATTCCCCTGGCCCCAACGGCTCTGCATAGCAAGTTAAGACCCGCAGAAGGTAAGAATGTTTTCGCAAGTCTCATGGCCAGAAATCACGAGAGCGAAGCCTGCCCACCCAGGCCCCCAATTCCCATTCCAATGCCCATCTCCACAGACACCCGACAGCGGGGGAGCCCTCACACCCTCCCTGGAAAATGTCACCGCAGGGTCTGGGAGAAGCTGGGGAATCCACTCCCCGTCTATGATAGTTCAGAACTTCGTTTACTGTTGTTCACACATGTGAACATTTGCCAGGCCTCCTGGCTAGACAGAGATGGTGACTCCTGGGCAGCCCTCGGGCCCCTGAGGCAATCACAGTGGGTGCCACAGGGACAGCCCAGCTGTGCCCAAGCCGCCTCCTCGGGAAACCCTGCATCCCTGCTTCTGCTCCCAATTTCATTAATTACCGGTTTGTGGATGCACG